CTTCTGTTCTCACAAACACCAAGCCTGTTCTGTTAGCAATTTGGGATTGTATTTCTGAAAGAAGACACGCTCCAGTAACTGAAAATGCAAGTATGCCAACAGAAATATACTTGAGAAATATGAACAATATTCTCCCTTTTTTAGGAAGTCACATTTACTATTTGCAACACAAATCTTTCCCAAGCAATGCAAAATGAGAACATAATTTCTGTGATGACAATATTTTCCTGGAATAAAAGAAGAAATTTGTAGAATTTTATCTCTCATGGAAAAAATAGTCCCTTATTAAAACAAACTTGAAACGGGAGAACCTGGGTGGCTCAAGTAGGTTAAACGTCTGACTTGAGCTCAGGTCATGATCTTGCCACTTGTGAATTCAAGCCCCACATCTGACTGCGCACTGGCAGTGCAGACCCTGCTCGGGATTCATTCTCTCTCTCTCTCTCTCTCTCTCTCTCTCTGTCCCTCCCTCATTTATGCTTTCTCTCTCTCCCAAAATAAATAAATAAACTTAAAAAACTACAGTTTATTATGAGAAAAACCCAGTTCTCTGATATGCTGAAAGAAGCCTCTTGGAAGCTATTCTGTGATATTTACTATGCGCATGTAACCCTCTCTGTGGGTAACTGGCTTTGGATAATCTTTTGCCTTCTCTGGGCCTCCGAGTCCCCACTGGTGGTGTGGGCATTGGGTTCTGCATGTCCACAGGGCCCTTTGTGTTCCAACAGCTCATGAACCTGTGACTAAGAGCAGGAAAGGGTCTGCCATGGTTGCTCAAGTGAGAACGGAGTTGAGGGTTAGTAATGGAGAAGGTTTTCTGCAGGTTCCTTCTGCCCTGTGACATCCTGAGATCCCAGCAGGCACATTAGCCGGAGGCTTCATCAGACCTGCAGACTTACTGACTACCTTGTCTTTCTTATCTGTGTCCAAGCGGGAAATAGGTAGTCTTCCGGGTACTAGCGGTCGAGCCATAGAGGAGTTATTTCAGGCACGCTCCTTCCTTTAGGTACTGCCAGTGCACAACGACCTTCTCAAGGGCAAGTGCAGACAGCTCGCAACATATGTGCAATATCTGTCCGCTGTTGATTGCATTAAGGAGAGTTGGTCCTGAGAGATTCCCATCTTGGTGTCTCCATTTGAAAAGCAAGTGGAATCAAAGGTCCCTGATCAGGTTGGAGTAGACATAGAAACAGAGAGAATACAAGAAAGGACATAGTCGACCTACAAAATGAAGTGAAAGACACATGGAAACCATGAGATGGCTTTGCCAGAATTTCCTCCGAGGCGGGGGCATGGATCAGGGCTGCGGAGGCAGGGGCAGCCCATGTTCTCTAGAGGCCGGGATCATGGAGGCAGGTTTGCTTCAGAACCAAGGAGAGG